GCTAGACCCCTGCAACCTGTGGGAGACCCAGATGAAGCTTCTGGCTCCTGGCTTCAGCTTGACCTAGCCCTGGCTGTTGCAGCCATCTGGGGAGTGAACCAGTGGATAGAAGATCTCTTTCTTTCTCTGTCTCTCTCTCCCTTTCTGTAATTCTTTCAGATAAATCTTTAATACTAAAAAAAAATTAATAATAAATAAGAAAAAAAAAGAAAAAGGATAGGATATTGCCAATGCGGTGGTTAAAGGGAAATTTGTAGCACTAAACATTTACATTAGAAATGAAGAAAGAGGGGCTGGCGCTGTGGCGTAGCAGGTAAAGCTGCTGCCTGCAGTGCCAGCATCCCATATGGGTGCTGGTTCAAGTCCCGGCTGCTCCACTTCCTATCCAGCTCTCTGCTATGGCCTGGGAAAGCAGTGGAAAATGGCCCAAGTCCTTGGGCCCCTGCACCCACATGAGAGACCTGGAAGAAGCTCCTGGGTCCTGGCTTCCGATTGGCACAGCTCCAGCAGTTGTAGCCAACTGGGGAGTGAACCAACAGATGGAAGACCTTTCTCTCTCTGTCTCTCCTTCTCTCTGTGTGTAACTCTTTCAAATAAATAAATAAATCTTTGAAAGAGCTCAAACCAATGACCTCAACTTCTATTTTAAGAAACTAGAATAAGAAGGGGCTGGGGTTGTGGTAGCCACCACTGGCAATGCCAGCATCCTATATGAGCATATATGCCCTGGCTGTTCCATTTCCAATCCAGCTCCCTGTTTTGTGGCCTGGGAAAAGTAGTGGAAGATGGACCAAGTGTTTGGGCTCTTGCCACCCATGTGAGAGATCCAGATGAAGCTCCTGGCTCCTGGCTTCTGCATGGCCCAATTCAGGCTATTGCAGCCATCTGGGGAGTGAACCAGCAGATGGAAGATCTCTCTCTCTCTCTCTCTCTCTCTGATTTCAAAATAAATAAAAATAAACAAATAAATACATACTTTTAAAAAAGAAAAGAAACTGAAGTCCAAAATAAGTTGAAGAAACTTTGGCAGTTTCTTAAAAAGTTACATATTCATACATATTTACCACATGATCCAGCATTACAAGAGCCATCACTTGCTCCCACCCAGAGTCTGCTTTAATAGGAAACTGGATTCAGGATCCAATCATTCTGACATGACAAATAGGTATCTGAACCACTAGGCCAAATCCTCCCCTAACAGTATTGGAAACATACGCTTTATTAATGAAAGCATCCATAGAAGCTTGGCTTGAAATAACCAGAAAATAGGAACAACCCAAATGTCCACTCATAAGCTAAAAGATAAGAAGTATATAAATATTCATGTAATGGAATACCATGTAAGAAAATACATGCAATAAAATGAATTATTAAAACAAGTTGTAAAGCTTAGATAAATCCAAAATAATTATGCTGAAGGGACAGAGCCCAAAACACCCCTACCCTCCAGAAAATCCCCACCTACTGTATTATTCCATTTACAGGACGTGTAACAAATGCTAAATGCATAAGGAAACAGTGACAGAAAATAGATCAATGCTAGAGATAAATGGTGACAGAAGGTGTAAGTAGTTGAGTGTGTCTGGGAAGGTTAACGGGGAACTCCAGAAGCCCCCAGAGGTGCTGACATGTTCAAGACTGTGACTGGGGTAGTTGGTTTCACAGGTGCACACATGTTGTACTCTATCAAATACAGTACTATCAACAGGGACATTTTTTCATATGTCAATTAAGACTCAAAGGGCACGTTATACATATTATAACAACTAGAAAACAGGGAAACATCTTCAAGACATGAAGGAAGCAAAAGTATTTTGAAGAGACAACATAAAACAATAAGCTTTGGACAGAGTAAAGAATAAGTAGGTAAAAGCCTCAGAGTGTAAGGAGATATCACAAAACATACACAGTAACCACAAAAAGTTTATAAAAAATAGAATTAAAAGATAAATGTATGTTGGTTTTGAAATGTATTTTGGAATTAAAAGATAAATTTATTTTGAAATCCATGCCTCATTTTTTATATAATTCATTTTCCATGAACCATTTGTGTGAAAATAACTTAATTTTTTTTAACTTTTACGTAGTAGATGTAAATTTCCAAAGTACAGTTTGTAGATTACAATGGCTTTTTCCCCCCATAACTTCCCTCCCACCCACAAGCCTCCCATTTCCCACTCCCTCTTCCATTCAATTCACATCAAGATTCATTTTCAATTATCTTTATATACAGAAGATCAATTTAGTATATATTAAGAAAAGATTTCGGCCAGCGCCGCAGCTCACTAGGCTACTCCTCCGCCTAGCGGCGCCGGCACACCGGGTTCTAGTCCCAGTCGGGGTGCCGGATTCTGTCCCGGTTGCCCCTCTTCCAGGCCAGCCCTCTGCTGTGGCCCGGGAGTGCAGTGGAGGATGGCCCAGGTGCTTGGGCCCTGCACCCCATGGGAGACCAGGAAAAGCACCTGGCTCCTGGCTCCTGCCATCGGATCGGTGCGGTGCGCCGGCCGCAGCGCGCCGGCCGGCGGCGGCCATTGGAGGGTGAACCAACGGCAAAGGAAGACCTTTCTCTCTGTCTCTCTCTCTCACTGTCCACTCTGCCTGTCAAAAAAAAAAAAAAAAAAAAAAAAGAAAAGATTTCATCAGTTTGCCCCCCACAGCACACAGAGTGCCAAATACTGTTTGAGCACTAGTCATATCATTAATTCACATTGAACTACACATTAAGGACAGAGATCCTACATGAGGAGTAAGTGCGCAGTGACTGCTGTTGTTGACTTAACAAATTGACACTCTTGTTTAAGGCATCAGCAATCTTCCCAGGCTCTAGTCATGAGTTGCCAAGGCCATGGAAGCCCCCTGAGCTCGCTGTCTTTGATCTTATTTTGACAAGGCCATAGTCAAAGTGGAAGTTCTCTCCTCCCTTCAGAGAAAGGTACCTCCTTCGCTGATGGCCCGTTCTTTCCACTGGGATCTCACTCGCAGAAATCTTTCATTTAGGTGTTTTTTTTTTTGTTGTTGTTTTTGTTTTGTTTTTTTTTGTTTGTTTGTTTTGCCAGAGTGTCTTGGCTTTCCATGCCTAAAATACTCTCATGGGCTTTTCAGCCAGATCTGAATGCCTTAAGGGCTGATTCTGAGGCCAGAGTACTATTTAGGACAACTGCCATTCTATTAGTCTGCTGTGTATCCTGCTTCCCATGTTGGATCATTCTCTCCCTTTTTTATTCTATCAGTTAGTGTTTGTCGACACTAGTCTTGTTTATGTGATCCCTTTGACTCTTAGTCCTTTCATTATGATCAACTGTGAACAGAAATTGATCACTTGGACTAGTGAGATGGCATTGGTACATGCCACCTTGATGGGATTGAATTGGAATCCCCTGGCACATTTCTAACTCTACCATTTGGGGCAAGTCAGCTTGAGCATGTCCCAAATTGTACATCTCCTCCCTCTCTTATTCCCACTCTTATATTTAACAGAGATCACTTTTCAGTTAACTTTAAACACCTAAGAATAATTGTGTGTTAATTACATAGCTCAACCAATGGTATTAAGTAGAACAAACAAAAATACTAAAAGGGATAAAGTATTAAATTGTACATTGACAGTGATGATAAGGGCTGATCAAGTCCTTGTTTCTCCTAGTGTCCATTTCACTTCAACAGGTTTCCTATTTGATGCTCGGTTAGTTGTCACCAATCAGAGAGAACATATGATATTTGTCCCTTTGGGACTGGCTTATTTCACTCAGCATGATGTGTTCCAAATTCCGCCATTTTGTTGCAAATGACCGGATTTGATTGTTTTTGACTGTTGTATAGTATTCTATAGGGTACATGTACCATAATTTCTTTATCCAGTCTACTGTTGATGGGCATTTGAGCTGGTTCCAGGTCTTAGCTATTGTGAATTGAGCTGCAATAAACATTAATGTGCAGACAGCTTTTTTGTTTGCCAATTTAATTTCCTTTGGGTAAATTCCAAGGAGTGGGATGGCTGGGTTGAATGGTAGGGTTATATTCAGATTTCTGAGGAATCTCCAGACTGACTTCCATAGAGGCTTAACCAGTTTGCATTCCCACCAACAGTGGGTTAGTGTCCCTGTTTCCCTACATCCTCGCCAGCATCTGTTGTTGGTAGATTTCTGAATGTGAGCCATTCTCACTGGGGTGAGGTGAAACCTCATTGTGGTTTTGATTTGCATTTCCCTGATTGCTAGTGATCCTGAACATTTTTTTATGTGTCTGTTGGCCATTTGGATTTCCTCTTTGAAAAATGTCTATTGAGGTCCTTGGCCCATCTCTTAAGTGGGTTGTTTGTTTTGATGTTGTGGAGTTTCTTGATCTCTTTGTAGATTCTGGTTATTAACCCTTTATCTGTTGCATAGTTTGCAAATATTTTTTTCCCATTCTGTCGGTTGTCTCTTCACTTTCCTGACTGTTTCTAAATTATTAGAGAACACTGGATAAACCCTGCAAGATATAGGCACAGGCAAAGACTTCTTGGAAAGACCCTGGAAGCACAGGCAGTCAAAGCCAAAATTAACATTTGGGATTGCATCAAATTGAGAAGTTTCTGTACTGCAAAATAACTTACTTTCTAAAAAAAATCATTTGCATGGCAGAGAGAGAGAGATGCACAGATAGTGAGCTCCCACCGTGCCCAAGCTGGGAGCCAGGAATTCAACCCAGATCTCACGTGTGTGTGGCAGGGACCCAACTGCTTGAACTGTCACCTGCTGCCTCCTAGGGTCTGCCTCAGTGGGAAGCTGGAATCAGGAGCCAGGACTCAAGCCCAGGCACTCTAACATGGGATGTGGCTCTCTCAGGTGCTAGAAATACCCACCCCTATATTTAACTTTTAATGCCATTTTCCATGAACTTTTTGAAGCACCATCCTCTAGTGAACAAACAGACATATCTAAAATCTATAAAGAATTCCTTAAGCTCTTTAAGAAAAACACTGACCATATAACAAAAATGGTGGCAAGAGATAATTTTACCGATTCTGTGATGGCCATATAAGCTACTGCTGGAGCCATGCAGCCTGCAGATGACAAGTCTGCCTTCCTTGAAGCTTAATGGGAAAAACACAGAAATAAAATCACACAAAGGTACCGGAGAAAGAAAAGAAATGTGCCATATCTAGAAGGGACTTCAAAATTTGGAAAACAAAATAATACAACCAGAGGGAAGGACAAAGTTGTGTGGGCAGCTAAAACTCTTAACAGTTAAGAGGATGTCTCTGTCCTACAAAGCCAAGGACAGATTGGAGTAACCACAGCCACTACTACTTGATTAGGAAAACCTACCCTCTCCCCCCACCAAAAAGAAAGCCAGAGGAGGGAGCACTTTTTCAAACAAAAAGCTAAAAAGAGGCAGTTTAAATGTTGCATGAACCAAACCTTCAACCCGAGGTAGAGAACAGACTCAAAGCCATACAGGTAGAAATTTTTAGAAACTTAACTCTTGGTGCTGGCACCATGGCTCACTTGGTTAATCCTCTGCCTACAGTGCCAGCATCCCATATGGGCACTGGGTTCTAGTCCCAGTTGCTCCTCTTCCAGTCCAGCTCTCTGCTGTGGCCTGGGAGGGCAGTGGAGGATGGTCCAAGTGCTTGGGCCCCTGCACCCCCATGGGAGACCAGGAGGAAGCACCTGGCTCCTGGTTTCAGACTGGCAGAGCCCTGGCCGTGGTGGCCATTTGGGGGGTGAACCAACAAAAAGAAGACTTTTCTCTCTCTATCTCTAACTCTACCTGTCAAATAAAAATAAAATAAATAAAATAAACTGAATTCTTATTGCAGCCAACAAACCAAGAAACAGAGTCATCAATTGGGGTACAACAACCTAGTTAATATTCCTCAGGGGAAAATCTAAAATCCAGCATTTCCATATTAGTACAGGATACCATGAAAACAAAATGCAAAAAAGACCAATGAATGGTGACCTATTCTCAAAAGGCAAAACAATCTGGCCAGCACCACGGCTCACTTGGCTAATCCTCTGCCTCCAACACTGATACCCCAGGTTCTAGTCCCGGTTGGGGTGCCGGATTCTGTCCTGGTTGCTCCTCTTCCAGTCTAGCTCTCTGCTGTGGCCCGGGAAGGCAGTAGAGGATGGCCCAAGTGCTTGGGCCCTGCACCCACATGGAGTGAACCAACAGAAGGAAGACCTTTCTGTCTCTTTCTCCCACTATCTAACTCTGCCTGTCAAATAAAAAAAAAAAAAAAGACAAAACAATCAGCTGAAACTTTCAGATCCCAAGATGATTTCAATACTGAAATTAGTAAACAAAGGTACCCAATTAGCTATGATAGTTATATTTCATAGATAAAGGAGAATGTGCTCATACAAGTAAAAAGTTATGAAATGTAATCAGAAAATGGAAACTACACAAAGAATCTGAGAGGGCATTCTACAATAAAAATGCAGTATCTAATATTAGGGACACACTGTGTGTTTACATCAGAATAGAGATGAGGAGGACTAAGTGACCCTGAAGACAGGGCAATGGCAACTATCAAATATCAGGAATGGGGGGAGATTTACAGGAGGGAGAGATGGAGGCAGAAGTGTATACGTATACACACACACACACACAAAGAGGAGAGAGAGAAGAGGGAGAGGAAGCTCAGAATAAAAAAAAAGTTGGAGATAAAGTTTTCTAAATGTTTCAGGTTTTTTTTTTAACTTTTATTTAGCAAATATAAATTTCCAAAATACAGCTTACGGATTACAGTGGCTTTTTGCCCCCCATAACTTCCCTCCCACCCACAACCCTCCCAACTCCCATTCCCTCTCCCATTCCATTCACATCAAGATTCTTTCTTTCTTTTTTTTTTTTTTTTTTTTTTTGACAGGCAGAGTGGACAGTGAGAGAGAGAGACAGACAGAGAGAAAGGTCTTCCTTTGTCGTTGGTTCACCCTCCAATGGCCGTGGCCAGCGCGCTGTGGCCGGCACACTGCGCTGATCCAATGGCAGGAGCCAGGTACTTATCCTGGCCTCCCATGGGGTGCAGGGCCCAAGTACTTGGGCCATCCTCCACTGCACTCCCAGGCCACAGCAGAGAGCTGGCCTGGAAGAGAGGCAACCGGGACAGAATCCGGCACCCTGAATGGGATTAGAACCCAGTGTGCCAGCACCGCAAGGCAGAGGATTAGCCTAGTGAGCCGCAGCGCCAGCCAAGATTCATTTTCAATTATCTTTATATACAGAAGATCAATTTAGTAAATATTAAGTAAAGATTTTGACAGTTTGCACCCACACAGAACATAAATTGTAAAATACTGTTTGAGTACTAGTTATAGCATTAATTCACATTGAGCAACACATTAAGGACAGAGATCCTACGTGAGGAGTAAGTGCACAGTGACTCCTGTTGTTGACTTAACACATTGATACTCTTGTTTATGGCGTCAGTAATCTCCCTAAGCTTTTGTTGAGTTGCCAAGGCTATGGAAGCCTTTTGAGTTCACCGACTTTGATATTATTTAGTAAATGTTTCAAGTTTTATTGACATCTAATGAATTGTTTAATTCCATCTGTGATGTGTGATTGATGCCTATTTTTAAGTCATCTTCCTTCTGTGTCCTACATCTGGACGAGCAAACAGGAAAGTCCAGGTGTGCTCTCTTTTTGCACCAGGGGAGAGTTCAATCCATGCAGGATCATTCATCCTGGCCTTAATCCCTCCACACAGTAAAATACCCAAACCAGTCCCTTGCCTTGCTCTTTCATGTCATTTCATATCTGCTTGGGAAACCTGCCCTACTCTCTCCAGAGAGTAGCATTAGATGAGTAATAAATTCAAACTCCATTGGTGTGTGTTTGGCATTATCAGACTTCATACATGCACTAGTTTTGTTTTGTTTTCAGATGGGGACTTCATTCCACTTCTGTGCGGTAACCCAAACAAAGCACCGTGCATTTACAGAATTAATAAGCTCATTTAAACCCACACAATTTAAACCCTATCCCTCCCTCTCTTTCTCTTTCTCTCTCTCTCTCTCTCTCTCACACACACACACACACACACACACGTACATACACACACACACACACTCCTAGGAATACCAGCTAACATGCTGAAACAAAAAAAAGGGAAAATTTTAAAGACATTCAGAGAAAAATAACACAGTGCATATGGAGAATACTGGTTTGGATGACCACAATGGAGTTCAGAAGTCAGTGTCAAAATATTTTTAAATTTATGAGAGAAAAATAATATCAACACAGAATCCTACCACTTTAAGAGTAACTATAAAATACGCACATTTTCAGAGGAAAAGGTAACTAAGAAAATCCACTGGCACTGGATCCCAGCTAGAACAACTACCACAACTTTAATAGGGTGTGCACCATCAACATTTAGTCTTTAGAATACCAGGGTGGTGCTAAACTCCCTACAAAGCACAGGACAGTCACAAACAAAGAATACCCATCCAAAATGCCAGTGGCAGAAACACTGGGTATCACTAAGTTGAAACCTTTGTGATGGTAGAGTGGTGGTATGAGCAATGACAGATCAATTATGCTAAATATTAGGCTTAGTATCCCACTAATCTCTATGTATGCTTTCACTGTCATGCAGTTAAAAATAGTTTCCAATGTATTCAACATGACAAGTGGCTTCTATGGAAACCCTACTCCCCATATCATATTCAAGGATGGGAGACTGAATGTGGTCTCCCTAGGATCCACAGCAATGCATAGATTTCAGCTCTTGCCACTCTCATTCTACATTGTTCTAGAAATTATATCCAGTGCTATCACATTGAAATAAGCTCTATTCACAGTGGAAAACAGATGTAAGGCTGTCTTTATTTGCATGCACAATCCATATATGGAATGTTTTAAGAAACACAAAGTGACCAGAACTAAAAATAGAGATCAGCAAGGTCTCTGAGTTCCAAATCAGTATATAAAAATCAAGGTTAACTACATATGTGAGCAATGAATAATCCAAGTGTAAAATTAAGAAAACAATTCTGTTCATGACAGCACTGAAAAAAACAATATATGAGAAAAATTAATACAGTAACTGTGGGACACTGGTTCCAGGACTTGCTGAGAATACTGAAACCGTGGCTGCTGAAGTCCTTCAGTACAATGGCAAAGTCTTTGAATATAACCTATGCATGTCCTCTTGTATACTCTGTCATGTCTAGGTCTTATATTACCCAATACAATGTAAATGCTTTGTAAATAGTTCTTAGACCATGCTGTTTAGGGAATAATATAAAGGAAAAACATTGGACATATTCAGTACAGGTGCAATTTTGTTTCATCAAATATTTTCAGGCCTCGATTGATTCAAGTCAAAACAGCAGAATCCACAGAAGTTGGAGGGCTGACATGGAAAACTAAAAACATGACCAAAGGAACATAAGAAAGACAAGAATAAACTAAGAGCCACTCCATGTTTATGGGTTGGGAGACTCAATATTGTCCAAATGCCATTTTACCAAAAATGATCAAAGGATTCAAACAATCCCTAACCAAATCCAGCAGAACTTTTTTCTTTCTCTGGAAAACATGGGCAATTTGTTGTAAAATTCATTTAGAAATGCAAAGAACCTAAATAGGCAAAATAGGCAAAGCAGCTTAGGAAAAAAGGAACAGTTCTATGCATATAATAGATCCTACTAAAATGTGTTCTAAATTGATACTGAATTTGGATGCATGCATATGAATAGTCTTTCATAACAAAGAAACTAAAAATAAAACAAATTCATGTTAAAATTCTCCAATTCCATAAATGTTTTCTGGGAATCTGCTACATGCCAGTTCTTCCAGGTGCTGGAGTTATAGCTATGAACCACACAGACTAGGAGATGGTTAATAAGCAAATAAATACCCACTATGTCAGAGAGTAAGAGCAACAGGGAAAATAAAGCAGTGCAAGAAAGACTGGATATTATTCTAAAGTAATCACCTGGGAAAGGTTCTCTCACAGAGAAGTATTTGAGCAGAGAGTTGATGACAATGGGAAAAGGAGCCATTCAAGTGCAAGTACAAGGAATATTCAACAACTTCAGAGCAAGTGCCTATTTATGGCAAAATTATGCATGGGCTCCAAAAAAACTCTTTGCACCAGCATTAACTTCTCTGGGCATTCCATTGCTCCAAGAACGTTTTGAAGGACTCATGTCTATATGGGGAGAAGAAGCATCCCAGGCAATAGAATAGCAAACAGCCAAACGCCAGAGGTGAGCCTGCCCCTGGGGAAGGACTGCCCTGACTCTGGAAGGAAGCAGGGAACAATGGTAGGACGAAGCAGAGGAGCACATCACGAGCCTTCTGAACTAGGGCTGAATCACCCTCTGAGAACAGGTTTTAGGTGAAATAAAATGCACTCCAGAAACTCTGTTGTGTCTGTCATCTAGAAGCCAAAACCCAAAAATTTCCACTGTGCTTTGTCTTATGGAAAACATATTAATTGATGTAGGATCCTCAATTTGGGTCTTTATCACTGGGAAATCAGTAGTTTATTTATTCTAAAGACAGAGTTACAGAGAGAGGAGAGGGAGCAGAAACGGGTGAGGGAGGAAGAGAGAGAGCGACTTTTCACCTGCTAGCTCACTCCCCAAATGACCACAACAGCTGGTGCTGGGCCAGGTCGAAGCCAGGAGCCTGCAACCCCATCCAGATCTTCCACATGGGGGACAGCAGCCCAGGCACTTGGGCCATCCTCTGTTGCTTTTCTAGGTGTGTTAGCAGGGAGCTGGATCAGAAGTGGAGCATGTGGAACTCAGACCAACACGCATCTGGGATGCCAGCACTACAGGCAGAGGCTTAACCAGCTCTGCCACATACTGCCCTCCTCCCTTTCTCAACAGTCCACTCCCACCACTGCTTAGGGGAATAGGCCTAATTAATAATGCATCACAGATCTGCCCCTTGCATGGTCACTGGGGCTCTGTACAGAAACACAGGACAAAGGCAATTTCCATCAGAATATAGTACAATCATGTGTTGCTTAATGATGGGGATACATGCTGAGCAATGCATTATCAGGCATTTCTTCATTTTTCTATCATCATAGAGAATAATCACATGAATGTTGATGGGATAGGCCAACCACATAAAGTGATCTTCTGATGCAATAAAGAGATGTGGTAACCACAAGATGCATGAAGCTGCAGCAAGCCCAACACAGCATGCTGTTTTAAACATTCCTTTGTAAGTCAAAGGAGTACACTCTAAAACAGTGTATGGCATAGTACATAAATCAGTAACATGGTCACAGATTTTCATTATCAGTATTATGCACTGTAGGGACAGGTAGTTGGCATAGCATTTCAGATGTCACTTGAAATGTGCACTGTGAGAAGCAATGGGTGATGGCTCAAGTGGTTGGGTTCCTGCCACCTACATGGGAGAGGCAGATTGGTTCCCAGCTCTTTCCTTTAGCTTGACCCAGCCTTGATGTTCCACACATTTGGGGAATGAATGAAAGGAGGAGATAGCTCCCCTCTCTCAAATAGAATGTTAAAAATTGTATATACTGTACACAATTGTGCTGTACAACTGGTAGTGCAGTAGGTTTAGCTATACTGGCATCATCATCATCAACATACACACATGAGTAATGGGTTGCACTACTATGCTACAATGGCTAAGACACCAACAGGTGATCTGAATTTTCAAGCTCCATTATAAGCTTGTGAAATACTGGTTCATAATGTGGGACTAGAATTGCTTCAGACAT